GTAGACGACGAAGACGACGAGTTCAAATGTGATTGCGGCTTCGAATGCGAAGACCGTTTTCATGTAGTCGCGGAATGTCCGTTGTACAAGAAGGAGAGGGGAAGCNAGAGAGAAGAACAGAATCTAAGGAAAGAATCCAAGGATAAGGAGGGTCTATTAATAGAAGTGTACGGAATGTTGAAGGAAGGAACAGGGTTCAAGGACTACCTTCATGGAGCAATGGATGCAGGAACAAAGCTTAAGGTCAAATTCAGGACCGGCGACATAGCCCTTCGAGAACGTCGAAGACATAGGACGGTAGACGAGGAAGACGACGAGTTCAAATGTGATTGCGGCTTCGAATGCGAAGACCGTTTTCATGTAGTCGCGGAATGTCCGTTGTACAAGAAGGAGAGGGGAAGCGTACGTGACTGAGCTGGGAAAAATAGATGGATCGTACAGGGAGATGTTTGAGGGATGGAATAGAGAGGAAAGGACGGTAGCTGTACTGGGGCATAGGAGGTGGGTTGAAAAGGCGGGAAGGGATATCTTAAGGATAGACAACCTAGGGAAGACATTATTGAACCACGTTTGGCAAAGTAGAAGGGAACGATTGGCCATCGGTGATCGGTCCTGTGGGAGCAACGCTCCGTCCTCTCGAGGATGCATGGTCAATGTTCTAACCGCTAAGGCATGCAAAACATAAAGAGTACGCCCCCCTCCGCCCGTGCGATCAGTGGTCCATGGGCTAACCGCCAAGGCATGCAAAACAGGAGAGTACGCCCCCCCCCCTCCGCCCGCGTGATCGAATTAATCCTCCCAGAGTTATGAGCTGGACGAGCAGCGATGTAGCTGCGGCTTCCCAGAGACAAACTTCGAGTGCGACGAAGTCCTCGCCGGACACGCGTCGTCGAGCAGCAGCAGCACGGGCGGGGGAACAACTTCTCACACCTCCGGAGGGGGCTCCGCGGCCGGCACCGACGACAGCGGGGAGGGGCAGGGGGGAGACGGGACCCCCACTTGGGTGATCGTGACCGCGATAGCGGTAGCGGTGCTTGCGGGGATGATGGCCTACGGGGCGATGGTGTGGAGGAGGAGACGGGGGAAGGACAAGAAGGTGGAGGGCGTGGACGATTTTTGTGACTCATGACGATTGGATCTCTCCTTTGTTGAGGCTATTTTTTTTTTTTTCGTCGCGTTGTATTTCTTGAGGATCTCGTTTTTTGGTGAGTGAGGTGCGGCTTGATTTTTTTCTAGTGAGGCTGAATTCTATTCTTCTGGTGAGAGTGGACGTTTTTGGTTGGAGGGTTTCTGGGCTGATGTTGATGTGGGAAGAGACTGATGCCAATGTTTGCAGGGCATCGGGGCGGTGAGCTTCGCGTTTCTCAATGGATTTTTGGAGCGATTTTGCAAAAATGGTTAGGCTTGATTTGATTGGGGTTAGGGTGAGAGGTAGGGTTGCACGGTAGGACCATCACAGTGACTTTTTTGGCGAACGGTTTGCTGGAACTCGGCGAGGCGGCGGCGTGATTAACCGAGAACCGTTGTGGGGGTCAGGGGTTGACCTGGTTCTAACTCAAGCGATGACGCGCTGTGCAGAGGCCTCCGTGATGTGTGTGCGACCGGCCTGGGGTGTTGGGGTCACGCGGCTAGGCCCTCGCTCAGACGGGGGTAATAGTCGCCGCTGTGACGGGCGTCTCCACCAAGCGCTGGTTGCAGCTACGGCATGAAATAAGGTGGACACCGAGCCGTTGGCGCGGGTGGGGCGGAGTCATGTTTTGGCATGCCTTAGCGAGAAGACCACGCTTCCTCGGGAGGGTTGGCACCCAAAGATCTGGCTCGACGGGCGCATGTTTTGGGCATGCCTTCGCGTTTAGAGGACGCGTCCTCGAGAGGCGGGGTGATGTGTTGCGTCGAGCTAATGGCTCCCTCGAGGCGCATGTTTTGCTTGGCGGTGGCGTTTTCATTGGCCGCCCCGCCGGCTCGTGGAGGGGCGTCTCATGCTTTCTACCGGCGCACGAGAAAGAATGGCTATACGCGTCGTCGTATCAGCATGTACAGATTCTGAAGTGGGTTGTACTGGCTACAGCAGTAGTCTTCCTCGCGTACTTTGGAGGGGTGGGGTGGGGTGGGGTTGGGGAATGTCACACGCTTTCGATGTTGTAAAATATACCTCTGCCGTCTGTCCATTGTCGAGGCACTTTTAGGTCGCCGCCGGCGACATTAACATGACACAACACCCGGTTGTTAAGGAGTGTTNTAGGACGTACCCCATCGGGACTTAGCTATCTGCGTGCCCCCAGGTTGAGGGCAATCCGCCTCACCTCAGACAGCAGACCTGTAGCAGACCCGCTTCTGCAATAACAAGCAACCTTCCCATCTCAACGTGCTCGTGGACAAGAGTGTCTACGGCAGAATCTACATCTACTACATCTAGGAGGCAAGCCACCGTCGGGCGGGCATTCCTCTAAACGGTGATACTACTGCTGTTGACGAAATATTGAGCGAGTCACAACTGCGGCCGGGTTGTAGTTTCATTCGAATTTCAGGAGCTTGGGTGGCTTGTGTCGCCCATTTGCTAGGTCTATGCCGGTTCTTCCGCTTTTCGAGCGTTGCCTGAACAAAAATATGGTCACCAACCAGTATTTTGACACAAGTAGTCCGAGTTAACTGGTTGTCTCCGATGTGAGCGCGGGGTTCCAGTGCTATTCCGGAGCATTCGGAAGCGTTTCAGGGGCGTTTTGTTTTCGTTTTGCCCCGGCCTTCATCTTTTTCAGCCATGATGCAGTTACGTCTGCATCGGGTGCCTTCATTGACATGGGGGAGGGAGGAGCGTCGTATTTTTCTCAGTTCCCCGCTTCGCTTGCGTGTTGCAAAGTGTCACGTGCAGACTCGACAGAGTGCGCGCGGACAATGCCTGAATCTGCGCGCTTGATGCCGGCGCAGTCAACATAGTCTAGTGCTGTAGAACGTTTGCTTCTTTGTTTAGTGACGAAGGAGCGGTCAGTCCGGTAGTACTCTATGGGTTTCCGAAGTCTATGTCGGCGCAGTCGACATAGTGCTGTAAAACGTTTGCTTCTCCGTTTAGTGACGAAGGAGCGGTCAGTCCGGTAGTACTCTATGGGTTTCCGTAAGTCTTGCCGTTCGTTGGTGTCTGCGTGATTCGCATGCATGTGGGGGTGACGTGGAGTAATGGGGGTAATTTATTGGTGACAAGATGTGGTTGGGTTTGTTTCTGTTGGCACGAGGCTTGCCTGTTCATAGCAGGGGGAATTGTCTCAGGTAGTAGTTGAACAAAATGTATCACGGTAGGTAATCGTACCGGTTTCAGTGAATAACGGGTGCAAGAACGTTTGAAGCACCACGGGTTGAGCATCCACAACAAGCTTGCTCGCATTCATGTTTTTGGGAGTAACCCCGTTCGTTCACAACGCTTCAGCTGTAATACCGACACGGTCTAGGAGCTTATTCTGTCAACCGGCGGTAGGAGTTCGACTGGATTAGGCCGGGGCAACATGCGGGCCATCATGTTTCCGAGAGCACACGAGCCGATGCAGACGCTGCCCCACCCACCTCGTTCCTGAAACCGCCCGATTGTGTTTTCATCCTACGGTGGAGCACCCATGTACTAGACAGCAGCGTGCTGAGGCGTTCTGAGCGTAGGCGGTGAATGAAGTATTACGATCCGGGTCATCTCGGCTGTTTGCCATGTGGTGTAAGGTTTTGAACAAACGATCGAGCGTTATAGTGAACACACCTCGTCGGTGAAAAAGTGGTTTTCTGGCGTCGTCTGGTCTCACCATCACACATACGGGTTATGAGCTGACGCAGAAGCTACCATTGTCGCCGCGCGTTCTACGAAAGGTGGATGCCGACTGTGTGGTACCATAAATAAACACCAAGTACCAGGACGCCTTGAGGGAAAGTCGGGTGAGACCGGTTCACTCCGAAGTGGTCCACCAAAAAAGAAAACCAACGAACGCACCCGAGGATGGGTGGACCACAGTCAGGCGGCACAAGAGGCCTCATCCAATCCGATACTCACTACGTGTAGATTAAATGACCCTCGGTACGGAGACACCAGAATACACAGAAAAAACGCCGCCATGTGCTGCCAAACCTTTTCCTCCGGCCGTGTGGAAATAAATAGTACCGTCGTGTGCGACGCAACTTATGCACGGGACAGACGGCGCCAATACTAGAGAAATTTCGTGGAAACTTCGTTCCCCAGCTGAGAAAATTCGTGGGGATTTCATTCCCCAGACGCCAAACAGGCGTGCCTGACGAAGTTCATCCACTCCCGTTCCTTTCGGAGGGTCTTGCGCAAAATCCAAGAGGCGTGTTTGGGTTTCGAACAAAAGCGTTCTCGAGTTTCAAAACAGATCCTTCTTCTTCCGCGCTGTTCGGTGCCATGTCCTCTGTGTCAAAGTCCAAAGAGGGTCCACACGTTGCTCACAGTCTCGTTTGGACAGGGAGTTCTCTCCCCCCCCGCCACCCGAGCAAAAAACACGGCCTTCTCGTTGCCTGCCCTCCGCGCACGGTCCAAGGCGGCGGTGTACCCCGACATCAACGCCCTTCGACAGCAAACCTCTCCTCAATCCATCCCAAGCAGCAACATGTGCGTCTGGGAAGGTATCGCCAATGCCAAGCCCCCCATACATCCACACCCCACCAGTTTTGTCTACTGAAGCACCGAGAAGCTACATTGCGATTCATCCTCGCTCGGAGTTTGGAAGACCCCTACCCTGCACGAGGTTTACCGCAGGCGGGAACGCAGGCCGCCGCGAGAGCCGTGACTTCCCCCGGCCGCTGCTGCGGCCGGCCCTAGCGCCTGCTCCTCGTCCTCCACCCCTAAGTTGTTGTCGAGCCACCAAGTCAGGCACCGAATGTCTAGGAGGCACACCTGGGGGGTGACGGCGACAACAAGGATGGGCGGGGGGGGGAGAGAGGGTAGCCCCTGTTTCCAAAGTGAACACATCACTAGTTGAGTTCGTGACGAAACATCAGTAGAGGCGGCGGGGAAGCTGTCGTTGTTGCGCTTCCTTCGAACCAACTCGCCAATCAACTTGTCCTTGATCAATCATCCCACGGTGAATATATACCTGGTTTGGCACAGCAAACGCACGAATTTTGACTAGCTAGGCTCATCCTTGTGAAACGTAGCCTGGGCCGCCGGCGTCAAGCCCGGCACATCGCTTCGTCCCGGCATTGCAGGGATGCAACGAGGTCAATGGTCCCGGCAGGCGATAACATGAGTGCAGGTCCCCCTCAAGTCTTCGCACCTGGATTTGTGGAAGCGACAGGGGGTCGCCTCCTGATCCTTCCGTCACGTGCGAAGTCACCGCGGCAGCTGCTGCTGCTGCTGCTGCTGCTGCTGCTGCTGCTGCTGCTGCTGCTGCCGAGGAAGAGTCTCCGTGTCCGCCTGTCTTGTTCGCCTTGTTGACGGCATCGGATTGCAGCGAAAGCTGCGAGTTCGGGAAGAGCGGGTGGGAGACGGGGGACCATCGATGTCGGTGGGAGGTACAAGGAACTTTTGATTGACGTTCAACAACTACGCTATAAGGCGCGCCTCCGGAGTGGGCTGGCCCATCAGAGCACAATAGTCCTCAATGCGTGATGCAAGGTGCAAGCAAAGCATGTGTTGGGTAAGTGATGTTTCCCAACTTCGAACAGCTTACGCAGCTGACGTGCACACAGAGCCCAACATACTGTAACCAGCAAAAAAAGAAAAATATACAAGTCTGTTACATACATTCATATACCATAAAAAAATGTGTTCACCGCTCAGGTAAGAGCACGTCCGAATGCGGGGGGGGCAAATGAACAAGGTGCAGGGGGGGGTACCATCGGTATCGATTTCTCGGGGCCGCAAACGGGGACGGGGCGGGGTGTTCACGACGTAGGTAAGCAACATCTTTGGCTACGGAAGCTGCGAGAAATCGTCATCGCGTGCCGCCCTAGCATCAAAATCTACCTCCACACATCTCCATCACAGACGACAAACCGACGGAACAAGAGCAGAAAAAAGGGGAGGAGGGGCGGCTGTCCGTCTACTTCGGGTGCGCAAAGGTCGCGATGCAAATCTCACCCTTGCCGCGAAAGCTGAGCATAGGGACGTCTGGCAGCTGATTTGCACCTGGTACATACTCCGACAAAGCACTATGTCAAACAAAAATGCTGCAGCAGCTCGCTCTGCAGATCGGGAGAAAAACAGGCAGCAAAGCTCACCTGCAACCATCCCGCTAAAACGGTTCACAACAACGCAAACGGCGGCAGGGGGGGCTTCACACGAGATCATTTTTCTGCCGACGAAACCCTTTCGATAGAGCGTCCCGAAGACACCGCCTACAACAGGCTCCTCTCGTCCGAAAGAACACGCCGACACCTGCCATACTTGCGGCACTTTATTTCAACGTCAACACCACCCCTCATGGCCACCCCTACCTTTCGCCGCCGTGCCGACTCCAGGAGCTTCACATACGCCTCACGCCTACCGCCGCCGACCCCCAACCACCGCCTCGCCTCCAGCCAGTGCGCGCACGCGTCCCGTCTCCTGCCCAGCCTCCATAAGGCGAGCGAAAAGTTGAACGTCGGGCGCGGCTCCTCCGGCAGTAGCAGCAGGCATGCCCGTAGCAACCGGCAGGCCTCCTCTCCCCGGCCGAAGGCTATGAGGAGCACCGCTCGGTTGTTGAACGCCGCGGCCCGTGCGAGTCTACGGTCGCGGTCGTCCTTTGGCGTCGCCCCGCCGCCGGTGCCGCCGCCGCCGCCGGTGCCGTGCGGGGGCGGAGAGAAGGCGGGGTGGTTCCGGGAGTCGCTCTCTCCGCTGCCGCCGGTCGGAGCCGCCGTGATTTTCACCAGCGGCTGCTGCTGCTGCTGCTGCTGCTGCTGCTGCTGTTCGGCCTCAGGCTTCTTTCGCTTGGGCGCCGGCGGCGAGGATTCCCCAAACGCCGACCCCGTTGCTGCTGCTCGCGACGGTGGCGGCACGGACAAGTCCACCTGACGGCGAGCGAGGAGCCGCAACGCCCTGTCGAGGCTGTCTCCCGCGCAGGTCTCGTCTTCCTCCAGGCATAGCTACGGCAAGCGACAGCGCGGTGGGGGTTATATCTACCGTCAGCAGACCGCCGTGTCAAGACCTACCGCCGCTGATCACACTGCAGTTGGAAGGGGGGCGTTGTATACAATAAACTATTTTTCTTCTTGCAAAGTTTGCAAATTGCCAAATTCCAACTGTTACTTCATTTATTCGTTTCCTCGGACAGGTTCTACGGCCTACATCTTTTGAAGTTTGGAAGTGTGGGTATTGTGTCCCCAAAAAAATGCGTCCCCAAGATAAAATACTAAAAAATGCCAAAACAAGTACAACACACCCAACCTACAACGTAATTAAGCTGCTGAGGTTACCCACAAACGTGGTTTGGAAGCATGCAACGCCCCTGTTTAGGAGGAAAGTAGCACACACCTCCCCCCTCCTCGAGGCACAAACCGTCGCCACCTTTTTGGTCGCGAGCTCGCGGATCGATGGAGAATGGGATGCCACGGACGCGTGTTGTAGAAGGCTGTCTCCCTACTCAGCACTTAAAACAAGCGAGAAAGTCCGACACGATACTCACTCAGGCGACGCGGGCCAACGCTCATGCCCGTGAGGCAAGATCCCCAGACGAATCACAAAAGAAGGCCCACGTGCAAACTGTGCGGACAGATGGGTAGGTGGGCTTGTTTCATGAAAGTCCGCGTGATATTCGGGGTGCCGCGCATACTTCGGCATCCCCACGGGCAGGGAGACATAACACCTCGGGTGGTCGGTGGTCTCCAGGGACGCTCCGCCCGCAGCACGCAGAATGAAGCCTTCCTCGTTGGCGTTGGGGCATTCAAACAAGCTGTCAAAACCTCGGGCCCATTGGGAGTGCTTTGCCATGTGTGGGAGCGCGATCGACGATGAAGAAGATGGGCAAGTCTTGTAGCGGGAGCCAAAAACGCGACCGCGCTTTCTGCTCAAAAAGTGTGTGCCTTCTTGTGATTGGCATCGGCCGCGCTCACCGGCTGACGAATGAAAAGCCGTCTCTTTGCCGGCGGGCAAAAAGTCAAGGTCCATGGAAGGGGGCCAAAGTTCGAAAAACGTGTGTACGGGTGTCGTTCGCCGACACACCGACCCAAAATAGCAATGGTCTCGCGCGCCGGATGCACCAAGAGAAACCAAAGCTACAGGAGAAGGTCCACGACGAATACAGCCCCCTGTTTGAAAACCACCCGTGATAGCCACAAGTCCCATCAAGGGAAAAGCTGCAACGTCAGCCAACATTTTGGTTCACCCCGTTCCTGACCGTCCTCACCAAGGCATCCGCCCGTAGCATCAGCATCGCAGCATCCTCCTCCTCTCCGCCTCCACCGCCGCTACCGCCGCCGCCGCCGCCGCCGCCGCCGCCGCTACCGCCGCCGGACCCATCCCCCAGCACCGTCCCCACCGTCTCAAGGGCATCGCGATACAGCCCTCTCTGGATCTGGCTGTAGGCGAGCGCGCGCAAGACTCTCGCTCTCCCAGGGCCGCGGCGCGACGCTCGGGCGCCCCCGCCCTTCGCAAAGGAGGCGAAGTAGTACGCCAGTCCTTCCCGGGGTGACGCTTCCCCGCCCGCCGTAGCCTCGGCGGCAACAAGCCCCTCCAGGGCAAGGATGGCCGTGGGCCAGTCCCTCGCCGCCATGGACGCTCTCGCCACTCGCCACATCACCTCCGCCAGCGCCACCGGCAGCACCGTGAGGGCGCCGGAGGCGCCGCCGCCGCTGCCGCCGCCGATAGTAACGCCACCGCCGCCGCCCGGTTGGAAACCCTGCCTCCTTGCCTCCAGCGGGAAGCACAGCCGGTGTTGGTGGGACGATGACCGACTGCTGTTACGTCTCCCTTGGTGGACGGCGGAGGTGGCGCCGTTCGAGGAAGGCAAAGAACCTCCGGAAAGTTCCTGGGAACGTTCCCCGAGAAAGAGGAGGAGCTCGCGGGAGGCGGCGTGGTCCCCCGACTCTTGCAGGACACGAGCGACGCCGTACACCGCTGATGTTGGGTTGGGTTGGGGGGGGGGGGGGATTACGAGAGGGTGTGTGGTTATATAGCTGGGGAGAACTTGTTGGCGCAGGCTTAACTGCGCGTTTAGGTCGTTCAGAAATGCTCGCGTCTTCCCGCCGCATGTTTAGGTGCAAGTTGAAACAAATGTGCGTCTTGGTCGCTCAGGAATGTTGGGGTCTATTCTCCTTATTTTTCCTCTCGCACCAACATCGTTGTGATGGCTCTGTTCCACCACGTGGTCTCCAAAGCGCATGCCCAAAATAGCGGTAGCAAGAAGGTTCACCTCTACGACCCCTGCAGCTTCCGAGTAACTTGTCTACTGCCTCCAAACTAGAAAGCATTGGAATTGCTCATGTATTACAGACATGTAGCATGTAACGCCATTTCGACGATGGCGTTACGTCAACCCCCTCCTCCCCAGCCGCCCTGTAGCACCAATTGTTCCCTTCATACCGTTTGCTGCGGTGGCAGCAATTGAACACCTAGGACTCTCCCGAGAACAAAATAGCGATTTTTCCAGATCGCGCCGCAAACTCGCCGTGGAGCAAAATAATCTCCCGACACATGACCCTGACTTCTCCCCCCCCCCCCC